AGAAAAAACCAGGGAAGCAAAGAATACAAGAATTGGGTATAAACTAAACTAACTTATAGATAAACCTTGTTATTTTTATAAATAACAAATTTACCGGTGAAGGAGGAGGACGAAGGTGAGAAGATCGTCTCAGAATAGTTCGTCCGCCCCGTAAACTGTGCAGTCGTCTTAAGAGTCTGTAAAAGTTTTAAACCGTAAGTATTAGGTGTAGCATTATATATTATTATATACAGATAACATTTTAATTTTTAATAAAAAAAACATTTTAATTTTAAAACGTGCATTAATTATATGTTGAAAAAGTATTACATGTGATTTATTAAGTTATTCACTTTCACAGCACATACGAAAAAGTCATCTCGCCGATTCGACTATACGAAAAATCAGAACCACCGTTTCGCAACCGCGCTCAGCCATGAGCCGCCGCGAGCCACTCAAGACCCTCCTGCCGACCGAGACATTCGAGCTCGATTCCGGCCTCTTTCTCACCCCCCGCGTCAAGCTCAGCCTCACGATTCACCGCGCCGACAAGTCCGTGTCCCCGATCGACGAGTGGAAGCTCAAGCGCTCGTTAATTGATTACCTGAGAACCTCGCACTCGATATTCGTTCCTGAAGAAGACATCAAGGTTTTCAAGTACAGAGACCTCAAGAAAAGGAAGCGCGAAGATCCCGTGGCGCGCGGGAGTTTGTTCGTGTTGGATTTAGGGTTTCTGTCCAGGAAGTTGGGTTTGAGCGAAAAGGATGGCGTGGAGAAAGAGTTTCTGGATTGGAGGAAGGGTATCACAGCGGAAATGGACGGAATGGAGTTGAATTTGGAGTCTGTAAAGTTTAAGTTGAGTGTTGAGGTGCCCAAGGGAGATGATTTTGAAGGGATGAGGAAAGAGTGGGAGGAGCTTGCGGCATTTGGAGCGAGAGGTTAGTTAAGGTTTTGGCTTTGCGTATGTGCGGGCTTGGACATAAATTCGTGAGTTATTTGTCTAGCTTAAATAGTACCTAGATGATACGCAATGAGGAAAGATAGGATTTTTTGAAGTCCTGGAAAAAGAGAAGATGAGAGAATTTACTGGGAAAAAGAGAATTTCGCTTCACCGTGTGAAAAGGAGCTTAAGTTCCTCTGTAAGTAGTTTGTAAGTTAATCAACATCTTATATATCAGACGATGGATAAAGAGGATTTGAAGATATTGTTTCCTATTTATGATGATAAGTTATTAAGCAATGAGAGGCCATACAATGTTACAAAGTGCCTCTTGGATGAGGTTCACCGGATATTTGTTGTGATTATTATTTTTATCGCTATCTAATGGGATACACAACTTTGGGAAGAAACTGAATCGGGGTTAGATCTCTTAAGTTGAACTCTTTGTCTGAATGGGTAGTGGGTCTTGACTTGTTAGAGCATAATTGGCCTTAAGTACATACCTACATGATATCTATGCCTGATGTACGGGGTTTGGCTTGCTGGCCATGGGTCATTCCGCTTTATGGATTGAGTTATAAGTATGATTTTTGATAAATTTTCTTGTGGTGATTTGACATGTGATGCTGTCTTGTGCTTTAGAATTGTCTCAGGGATATCTTATATTAATCTTTAGGAATTATTTTGATTGGTTCCNCATTTTTGTCTACTTATTGATCCTTTTTCTGCTCTGTCCGTTGGAATAGATGGTGAATATTGGTACCACTTACCCCTCGAGTGGATTATTTTTCCCAACCGGTGGCATAACATTTTAGAACATGGCTATCCTCATGTCTCAGATGTTATCTCTTTTTTCATTATTCTTTTTTTTAATATATATAAACAGGGGGTCTGCTCTGTCTACAATTTTTCAGCCTCTCTTTTTGGATCTTAGTGATGATAAATTGTTTTTGCTGTAGTAATAGTTGTTGCCTTGTTTTGACATTCATTAATCTTTGGTCAACGTATATCTCAATCAACGCAAACAATGATGCTCATTATTCATGTTACTTGACAGTTGACAACCATGTATTTGATAGGATATCAAAGGAGTGAGAGGCAACAGCCTGATACAATTATATTAAGAGGTGTGCCATCAAGGTGGTTTGCTGAGCCTAGGGTTTCATCAAAACCTTCAATGCTAGTCACTCACACAATTTTTTCAGCACTTGGAAAAATAAGGTGTGTGACTTATACTAGCTAGCTCTGAACCTAGTTTTCAGCCGGTGAGGTATTTCTTGTATCCGACATAATCATTGTACAATCATTGTCCATGTGGCTTCCCATGATCTTACTTGATACATGATTTTTTCAGTTTCTTTGTTATCAAAATTGTCAAAGTGAATGACGCTTTTGGTAACTGTTTAGATTAAATAATTATGCAGAGGTGATCCTTGAAAGCTAAATTGCTAACAGGATCTTTGTCACAAACAGTTAAATATCGGCTTTATGTTGAATTCTATTTCCGAATTTTTTGGAGGGGCAATACTCCTTTTGCGAGAAGCATGTTCAATCAAAATCATTTAGTCTGCTGTCCTCATTATCCATTAATTATATTTGAAATGTTCTTCTCATTTAGGAATCTTGAGGTAGGTGAGGACAATGTCAGAGGTGAGGATGAGGATGAAGATAGTGGGGACCTGGTTTCAGGTCTCCATTGTAAGATTGTGGTTCAATATGAAAGTTACGAGGACTTTTCAAATGCCTTGAAGATTTTAAGTGGCCGCTCGTTAAACAAGGTATAACTGTTTGTTATTTTGGATGTGTTCGTTTCCAGATATCTTGGCAATGATTTATCTTTAGAGATTATTACAAAACTACCTTACTCCTATCAGCTAAGAGTTAAATTTAGTTTTCTAATTAATTTTTCACCGTGCTAGTAATTATTTAAAAAAGTTGTAAATAATGCAGCAAGGATCACGGTTGAGAGCTGATTATGAGGTGACGTGGGACAGAAATGGATACTTTCGAAATCGCAGAAGCCGAACAGAAGAGGGTAAGAGATGGGCCCCACTTACTGGCGTGGGGAGTTATTCAACTGAAGCTGCTCAACATCAGTCAAGAGTTTCTCGAACTAGCCCTGATAATGCACGCAGAAAGCGTTTCAAGGTATTTATGATAGTTAGTTTTTTTTTTTTTTCACACTTTTTGGAGAAAGTTGAGCAACTGTGTAAAGGATTTATGATGGATTTGCAAATTGCAGGACTGAAGAGGAGTTTGAATGTGAGAGGGCATCTAATGTCTAGCAGGAAGCAGTTAAGCCGATTCTTTTACAAGTCATTGCTCGAGGTGATGTTTGTCTCAGTAAGGGCAATCTCTTTTTATCCCTTGGCTAGCATGCTGCCTTACACAGTTAGACGAGTAGGATGCATTTTTAATGGCCGAAAGTTTTTTTATGTTATCTGATCTCTCTAAATAGCCACACTAGACCAAGATTGCAGCACTTCAATTGTCTGAACAAATGTTATTGCAAGCAAAAGAATGAGGAATCATCTTCAAGTAAGATGTCCCTCTTTTGATTAAAGATTAAATTCAGTGAACAGGGCCTTTAATAAAAATTGACTGAATAAACGAAATCAGTGAAAAGGGCCTCCGTCTAAAAGCATCATATGCGCTTCTCAATTGGCATATGGTCACTGCATATAGGCGTATGATTGGCTATTTGACAGCAAAAACACGATTAAAAAAATCCACATAAAATATTATTTGGTAGGCCAAGTTTAGCACTGATTTTAAAAAATTGAAGTTCTTATTATTTTTCTTTTTAATTTTATTTGCATTAAATATTAAAATATAAATAATTTTATCATATTAACTAAATAAATTTTATATTTTATGTCGTTCTTAATTTTATCGTTTTTTTGAGTTAAATATTCATGCTTTTAGTTAGTTTATAAATTCAATATTCATATCTTTTAAATAAAAACTTAATAACTTTGTCATTTATCACTATTTTCGCAAATAACATCGAATTACATTTTTTTAAATAATTTTTCATTTGATAATTGCAAGCGATTTGTTTACCGAATGAATCAACTACACAATTGAAATCAGATTGGAGGACTATCCAATGTAGCCTAAATATCTCAGCACAACAAATCAGAAAACACACAGAAAAAACTAAAAAGCTTCCATCAGTGGACCACCCCAAACAGAAAATTAAACGCTGCTAAAGAGGAACATAAAGAACACACAAACACACACTCACAAAACAAAGCAGAAACAAGTGAAAACTACTCTGCAAACAGAAACCACGACACGAACTCTCGAGGACAACCACCCATACAGACAGAGACACGGCACGAGGCGCAGATTCAGAAACTATAGTAATACTACGCTTAACTAGATTCAAACCCACAGACTCGATCTCTCTCCCAAGTAGACGACCAGAGCCAAAACTCACAACCACCGACACTGGACGAAGAGGAATTGGTGGAAATTGCTTTTATTTTTGTAACGACAGTCGAGAGAGGCGTTTAGTTGAGGAGAAAACTGCATTTGAAGTTGAATGAACTTTTTATGCTTTGAAAAAAATACTTGAACCTACACGTAACTTCACTTTGGGTTGAATTTCCCTAACAAAATATGTGTTCAAACTTTATTTTAAACCATAGAAGAAAGCTTTTTGAATGGCATTTTTTTTTTTCTTTTCAATTTGCATGGAGAAAAGAAAATCACTTTATTTGGGAGAAAACGAAGGAAATGGATTGAATCTAGCAAAAGGTTGTTGGGAGGTAACGAACATATGGGACCAAATGATTGCAATTGCCTAATTGCTCAAATATTATAACAAATTTGCCAAAAACTTAAAAAATTAAAAACTTGCAGAGGGATATAGACATCTCCTTATCTTGCCATCCCTCATTCATCCCCCCAGAAAACATACACACACTAACCGAGAAACAGGAGAAGAAAAAAAAAACATTGATTTTCACAGCAAATGGCATTTGCAGGTACAACCCAGAACTGCATGGCTTGTGAGAAGACAGTATATCTTGCAGGTACAACCCAGAACTGCATGGCTTGTGAGAAGACAGTATATCTTGCAGACAAGTTAACAGCTGATAACAGAGTTTACCACAAGGCTTTCAGATGCCACCATGACAAGGGCACTCTCAAGGTTCCTCCTTTTTTCCACATCTTCCATTGTTCTTCCAAATTTTGCCTTTTTTTTTTGGTCAGTAACCACTGATTTGCATATTCATGGAGTTGAGAGTTTCAAGGACCTGGTGCATACATTCGCTTTTAACATAGTTCTCATCTCATAATCAATTAACCCTGTTAAATTTTGGGCACTCCAATTATTGTTCCTCAACATAACATAGGCTGATGCTATTCAGCGATCCAGTCTCATCCCAGTTCATAGAACGAATACAAGAAGAAACATGAGTGATCAGCCAAACCAACAACTGTACAAAATGCTTTCTAGATTGAAATTTGAACTGCCTAGAGAGAAAAAGTGCCGTTGTCCTTTCAACTTTTTTTTTTTGTTGTACAGTATCGCAACGTAAAAAACCACATCAATTTTTT